TTTAAAAATTTTTTTTTTTTTTTTTTTTTACTTTTCCTTATGTATTTTAAGTATTTTATTATTTCTCTTCATCCCCTGTTTTTCTGTTCTGTACTGCCTCACTGCAGGCTGTTGGATAAATGTGATCGGAAGCATCTTCTGGCTGGTTTGACCCAGACTCTCTCTCTCTCTCTCTCCCCCTGACAGACTCAATCTGACATAGTGAATTGGTCGTGTAGAAGTGGCAAAAAATAAATAAATTATTGAATCTGGGTCTCGGGTCTAAATTTAACAAACAAAACCAGGTCTGTTATATAAAGCTAAGACCAGTCACATAAGGACAGTTGACTGCTGCAGTATGAAGAGCCAAAATCCCCTGTCCACACTGATGAGGACCAATCCTTTATGTGTTTCACAACTAGATATTTAGATTTTAGGAAAAAATTTTGTCATGTTTGTATAGGCAAAATTCAGTGGTTGCCAAGGTGTTGCTATGCATTTGCTGAGGTGTTTAGGGTTGTTACTAGGATGTCTCTAAGTGGTTCCTAGAGTGCTATGGGTGGTTGCTAGGTAGTTGCTAGTTGGTCACCGGGTTGTTCGGAGTAGTTGTATGGGAGTTGCTTGGCAGGTAGCCTAGTTTCTAGGTTATTCAGGGTGGTTGCTAGGGCATTGCTGTGGTGTTGTAGGTGGTTGCCGGGGTGTTGGGAGTAGTTGTATGGGTGTTGCTAGAGAGTTCCTAGGATGTTCAGGGTGGTTGCTAGAGCATTGCTAAGTATGCTGTAGTGTTGTAGGTGGTTGTTAGGGTGTTACTAGGATACTCAGGATAGTTTCTAGAGCATTGCTAAGCATGCCTACAGTGTAGTAGGTGGTTGCTAGGGTGTTGCTATGTGATTTCTAGGATGTTCAGGGTGGTTGCGAAGTACGCTATGATGTTGTAGGTGGTTGCTAGGGTGTTGCTAGTTGGTTGCTGGGGTGTTCGGAGTGGTTGTGTGGGCATTGGTAGGTAGTTATTAGGATGTTCAGGGTGGTTACTAGAGCATTGCTAAGTATGCTATGGTGTTGTAGGTTGTTGCTATGATGTTGTAGGTGGTGGCTAGTTGGATGCTGGGGTTTTCAGAGTAGCTGTAGGTGGTTGCTAGGGTGTTGCTATGGTGTTGTAGGTGGTTGCTAGGGTGCTGCCGGGGTGTTCTGAGAGGTTGCTAGGTTTGCTTGGCAATTGCTGTAAGTGGGTTGTTTTATGCCAATGCTAATTAATGTTAGTTTGGTGTAATGTAATGCTGCATGCTGGCAGAGGACACGTCCTCAAGAGACGGCCTTTGGCATGATGTCATGACAAACATAAACATGAGTTGCTGGCGTGTGTCTGGGTTTGAGGAAGCACTGTGTCAGTGTGTCTCGCACTGAAGGGAGGGAGAGCAAACGTCTCCTGCTCTCTGTTTGTCTTCCTCATTGGCTCGAAACGTGTCCTCGCTGACTGTCCTGCATGTCCAGATGTCTTAAGTCTCCGCCTTCCCTTGAGATTCTGCAGACAGCAGTAAAGGTTATCACAGGAATTCTAGATTTCACTGCAACTCTCAATAAGAGGTGAGATTTAATGGCTTATATTCAAATAGTGCATAAGTCTGTGTGGTTTGGGCTTTTATAGGTTGTGCGTTGAATATTTTAGGAGAGATCACAGATGTGTTTATCTCTCTGTCTGTGCGTGTGTGTGTGTGTGTGTGTGTGTGTGTGTGTGTGTGTGTGTGTGTGTGTGTGGTAGAGACAGAATTCAATCAGCAGCTGCTCAGTAGTTGTTTTCTGGGCCACTTATCTAAAATCCTCTTCCTCTGAGCTCAGGACTGCTGTGTCATGATTACTCCAGCCTGGATGAGGCACCTGGCTCTGCGTTTGTATTGATTTATACTGAGACTGAGGTAGTGCTGTCATATGCATGAGTTCATTGTGATGTGATTCGCTCAACATGTTTTTCAGGTGCTTTTTTCCCACTTTTTTTGTGTTGTGATGCATTAGGTATATTTGTTGCTTATAAGGGAGAACCGGGCTAGTTGTGACATATTTATTTGACGCCTTATTTCCCACAGGAGATTTATTTTATATCTGTATATAAATGTATATAACTTGAAGCATTTGTTAAACATTTCCAACATTGATTTAATATAGCGGGGCATGTTGTCACACTATATGGGGTAAGTTGTCACATTGGGATCCTGCTGTTTATTGGCACTGATGTGAAAAAAAATTATTTGTTTGAATTATAAAATATTGTCTGAAGTAAAATAAAGTAATCTAGCACAACATCTGTATTTAATCTATATAAATTATGAATTTGTTTTAATGTTTAACCTTTATCTTCTTTATAGTATACTTTAATTCAATAGTTGCCAGTGTGGGTTTTATTGTGTACGATGAGATATGAAAATATCCTTACAAAAATCATATAAAAAATATGAATTTTGGTTTCATAATTAAAAAAATATGACAAATTATCAAACTAAATATCTCAATGTAAGATATGTATTTCATATAAAGTCAACTGCATATCTAACAATTATTACAAATATAATTAAATGTGAAAATATGATGTCAAAAAGCATGAAAGTATCATCTTGACAATTCACAACAAAGCATTTGTATTTAATAATGTGTATTTAATATAAAGTCATTAAGTATGTGTCAGCTCCAGTATTTAATTTAATGTAATTTTATTTTTTTAATTTCAGTGGAGGTGGTGGAATTATATTAAAAAATATATATATCTATATATATATATATATCATGTAAATTGTATAGTATAAATTATATAATATCAATTATTTAATTTTTATGTATTTATTTTTATATTATTTTAAATTCATCAGTGGGTGTAGTGCAATTATAAATAAGTTATTTATATATAATACATTTAATTTATAAATATAAATAAGTTATTTTATAAATAAGGAATTATTTAAATTATATAGTATCAATTATATAATAAAAATTATTTTATTTTATTATTTTATTTACATCAGTGAAGGCTGTGAAATTATAAATAATTTTATATAAATTATATATCAATTGTACAGTATAAATTATATAATATAAATATTTTTATTGTATTTTTATGTATTTTTATTTCATATTCATCAGTGGGTGTGGTGGAAAATAAGTTATAAATAAGTTTATTAACAAGTTTATTATTAAGCTAAACTACTGCTAGAAAGCAAGCGTTTGTATAATAGGAATTTGAGTCTATAGTGACTGAGATATAGCCCTTCCACATGTGATAACTAGCCCCTTTTACATGACCACATTTTAAGTCAGTTTGAGTTGCTGTCTTTTGTCAGAGAACTTACAGCCAAGATGTATTTATGTACACACACACACCCCACATGTGCTGCCATGCTGGCTTGGTCATATTTCCAAATTTGGCACTTGTCAGTGCAGATAATGAGCACTAATAGGATGTGACGTCTCTGTCAGGTCACCAGAGCCCTGCGGGTCTCATTATCAATATCTCTTTCATCAGCCCTCACAGAGCTGCTGCTGATCTGGAATCAGGGCTCATGACCTACAAGACGATCTGCAGGAGTTCAATCAAAAATCCTGAGTTAATATATGACCATTGTTATAGATTTATGTGGCCAGAAGTGACCACTACAGTCATGTGACTCTGTGGTTCTAATGGCACAGGATAAATAAAAACACTTAATTTGAGCAGAAGTGGACAACAGTGAGACTCTACAGGCACAATAGAGGTCCTATTATTGGGAAGAAGGGGATGGTTTTGGTGCCAGTCACTGGAAGAGCTTGAGAGATGGCAGACAGGGCTGGCAGTGCATGCTGGGAGTGCCAAGTGGTGCCAGTCTGTCAGCAGACCTCTGATCAAACCCCTCCAGAGAAGAGCAGCCGGTCCGACCAAAACGACTGCAATGTGTCACTGAGTCATAATTATTATCAGCTATGCAAATGAGCTTGAAAGCGGGAGGAAATAAATTAATTGACCACATTTATTGACAATTTACTATCTATCTATCTATCTATCTATCCAGAAAAATATATAACAACAAAATCATTGACTGTTCCATTTATTATATAAATATTGTATATTTATTCTTCGTATTTTCCAACAGTCACTGGTTTTATATTATTTTTGTTTTATTTTATTTTATTTTACTTTATTTTATTTTTTTAATGACGTATGAAAGTATGATTACAAAAAAGCATTTAAAATATGATTTGTTTTCATATTAATTAATGATTAAAATGTCCTAATTTAAGACTATGTATATTTAAGTATGTTTATATTTCCCCTACCTCCACTGATTATTTTGTTTTTATTTTTATTTGTTATTGTTTATAATTATTTCATTCGATTTTATACTTTTGTTTACATTTGATTAGTTTTGTGTTCATTATATGCAGGGACACTGTGTGTGTTTATTTTATTGATTTGTCTTCTCTTGTACTTTTATATTTTTTATTTATGTTATGTTTTTATCTTTATTATTTAAATTTACACAACAACTATTGATTTTTCTAATTATTTATATTATATAATATTATTTATTGGTTATGCTCCTTTCTCTTGTACTGTAAAAATAAAAAATGCAACTAATTTTATTATATTATTTATTTATTTTATTAATTATTTAAACAATTATTATTTACACAACCTCCACTGATGGTTTTATATTTAATTTTATTTATTTAATATTTAATATTTATACTTGCACAACCTCCACTGATTATTTTATTTTATTTATGTTGTAGCATTTACAGTATTTCTCTCTCTTCACTTGTAATGTGTGAGAGTAAACCATTCTTAAAATGCAAACCATGCTGTCAGCTTGCTTTCCTTATGTTCATTCATGATTTTTAGATAAATATAACTAAATATAGTCACATGTTTAGATAAAAACAAATAATTTTATCGAGCTGTCAAATCTGATCGTGTTCTCTTGATGTCTTCTCTCAGAGCTTCATCTCGTGATCTTCCTGGACCATGAGTGGTGGTGTGAACCTGAAGACGATGTCTCAGAGCGGCTCTGGTATTCCTCTGCCGCGGAGCCTGACCAGCCTCTCCAAACAGGACACCAGAGGCTTGAGCGGCGCTTTACTGGGTCCAGCCGCCCAAAACCAGCTGGCTGGACGAACATCCACATTATCTTCCTCAGCCTCATCCATATCGTCTCTATCCATCTCAAAGGAGTTACTCAGAGGGACCGGATGGAGAACTCAGTCTTCACAGGGAACACATGGGACGTCTGGTGGCACAAACAGGCCGTCGTTTGCTCCCCGTTCGGCCCACAGCAGCCCACATGTGCCCAGACGAGAGATGATCCCATTCAAAAACAGCCTCCGGAGGGGCTCGTTGCCCCAGGATGGATTCAGAGACCTGGAGAGACACTCCAACAAGAACTGGAGATCTGGCCGCCATCACTTCAGGAGTCTAGACAATGAGGTTGTTGAATCTTCTCGAGAGCAACAGACGGGTCAAGCCCTTCGTAAGCCTACCAACGGGAACGTCATTTGGGAAACGTCAACTGCTGTTCAGAGGGACTTTCAGAAGCAGCGGATGAAAATACTGGCTCGTGGTTACGGCAACAGTGGAACGATTGCGTCTAAATCCAAGGCATACGGCACAAACGCGGGTCCTGCAGGAAGGGAGTCTCCACGCATGGCAGCGGTGGCACCTTTCAGATACAGGTGAGATTTCAGACTCTTTTTTTTTAATTTTTTTTTTATTGCTGTTGGTTTGTATTGGGCATATTTTGATTGTGCATGCTCAATTTCTCAGTTTTTTTTTTCATTTAAATGACTTTGGCTGTCATCTGATGCATGCTTTATATAGACTTATAATTATAAATAATTACTGGCTTACTGTATTGGCCCAAATTGTAATATTGGTGCATCAAAGTAAAAAAAAAAAAAAAAGTTTTTTATTTTTAAT